GCTAACAAAAGTTACCGATGGTAGAATTTCTCACCATTGGTAAGCCAATGGTACCAAAGTTTGCACAAAAAATTTACCATAGGTAGATTTTTCTGCAGACAAACTAGAGCTCTGTTAGCGATGGTAACTTTTTTAATGACGTCAAACAAAATGGCGGGTACTGATCAAGTTGGTCCTACTAAACAGAGAACCCGAGAGATCTCTAGGTTTACGGGGCGGTATTTGGTAAATTTTAATAAATTTTATGCTTATTTTAGTTCATTTTTACTCTATAAATCGTTTTCTATCTATAAAATTAATATTAACAAGATTATTCTATGAAAGTTATCCCTCGGGGAAAAAGTTGAAAAAGTAACAAATCATGTAATGTTTTTACCACACCTAATCACTAATAGGGGCCTATACATAAACTCTGTGTATATAGGTGTGAAACGTCTTTTTTAAATGTGGTTTTTCTTGACTGAAAGTTTCAGAATATTTATTTTAATAACTTTTAAGTGTATTTAATGTAAAATCAAAATTTTATTATTTTAATTATTTTTCATTTGAGTCGATTTGACAATCAGGAAGACGAGTTGGAGAAAAATTCTGTTGCGGAGAAGTACTTTACTAAAAAGTATTTTTGAAAGCATTTTTTTTTTTGCTGCAAAATGATGCATGAAGCAAGAATAAAACTCTTGGTTTTTCTTCTAAGATAGAAATCTGTCAATGTTAACAATAGTATACACCAATGTCACAAAAGGTACTCCAATGGTGCCATTGTTAACATTGGTGAGTTTCCTACCAACTCTACCCAAAACTCGTTCAGAGTACATATGGGCCCAATGGTACCAACGGTACAAATTGTTACCATTGGCAAAGAGGTGATGGTACCACTGGAAATACTCTGAACGCACCCTAAGTATTTTACCCGGAAATCTTGATTCCTTGAATATGTAGGAAGTTTTTTCTCAGTCCCATTCAGTGGGTTGAAGATAAGGAGGCTTTACTCTGATAAAATCAGCATTAAATACCCTCATTTTCCAAGTGATAAAATCTTCAAAATTAACAATTATGCTTCTGGTATTGGAAACATTTTTTGTGCATGTATGAAATACATCATCACAGTTAGAATACTATGCATGAACAAGTTTATGATTGTATTTAGTGGTAGAATATGGTGCTACAGGAGCAGATTCAGGAATTCAGAAGGAGGGGATGCATTTTTTTTAGGCAAGGGGGCTGGGGGATTCAAAGAGGGCCAGGGAAAATCCCCTGATGGGTTCATGGGATGAAGTTCCAATATTCTGATGAATTTTAAGAATGAAATGTAGCTTTATATAAAAAGCCTCCATTGGATTTTAACCTTGGAGGCAAAGCTCCTAACTTATAAATAAAAATAGGCAGGTCCTCTCCCCATTTTCAATTATTTTGATATCAATTTTAAGCTTTGCGTTCTAGTCAGAAATTTAAAAATGCCCTGCCAAGCTTATTTTCTTGTTCTATAGCAGTGAGCTTGTTTTTTACTTGTATGTTCCTTGAAATTTTTCATCAGAATTTCAGGCATTATGAGGAGAGTAGCGTATCAGAAACCCTTGGCTAGCGAAGATGAATTTCAGGGTCTTTTTTTATCTTGTAATTGTAAGCTGTGATTTTAGCCCCTTTTTCCCCTACCACTTGTTTCCAGCTAGGTCCTTATCATGATTTGTTTGGGAGTATGCTAACCTTTATACAATGTACATGTAGTTAACATCTGTTCTTTTGATGTTGTTGTTGTAAAAATCCTAAGGTTTGCACATATTTTGAGGAAAATTTTTGACCAAGAAGAGAACATGAACAAATTCAAGACTCAAAACGACTTTGCCTGTAAGAGAGAAATAAAATCGGAAAGAAATAAAAATTACAGCATGCAGAGACATTTCTGATTTCAGTATCTTTATGTTTTATGAGACTACATGAAACAATCTGATTAAAATAAGATTCTTTGATCCGCTCACATAGATCGCTACACAAGGGCGTAGCGATCTTTGTGAGCGGATCAAAGGATCTTATTTTAAGGTGTAGCGATCTATGTGAACGGATCAAAGGATCTTATTTTAATCAGATTGTACATGAAACTACCGTAAAATGAGAAAATGTGTATTGTTTTAGTCATACATATTACTATCTAGTATGACGAAAATGCACATTATGATAGAAATTTTTTTTTTATACTGAAGTTTCCAATTCTACAAGTATGAATTTTAAAAGGTATGTTTGAAAAATAATTGATTTTTCTTTAGGCAAATAAAGTGACAACATCATTATCTGAAAGCATTTGGTACGGTTTAGAATATTTTATTATCCTATTTAGATAAAAAAAAAAGTTGTTTTTTTTTCAGAGAGGTAAAGTTTTTGAAAATATAAAAAAAAAATAAAAATGGTTGTGTACCGAGACTTTTACGTTCTCTGAAATGTTCTTTAATTTTCAAAAATAAACCATCAGATATTTTTACTATTTTTATTATACCAAAAATGTAAAAACCCTTAAAAATTAATTTATTAACTTGCATTGTAAACTGCTTTGAAAGCAGGGACATATATTCCCCATTTTCAAAAGTGAGTTATCTCCCCTCAAAATCGGAACTCTTCTACACTAGCACAACTTCCGCGGACTACACGTTACGATAATCCAACAAAATAGTGATCAACTTACACGCTGCATTAAAAATTTTAAAAGAAGGAAACGGTTTGCAATTTTTTTTTTAGATAATAAGCGATTTTATAAAGGGTCTGTTGCTCCCCCCTTTCTAGAAAGCTATACGAATTAGCCAGGCACGTATCATCGTCTTTAAAAGTGGGGGGGGGGGGGGCAGCCAAAGAAATATGTTTTTTCTTACCTGGAAAAGTAGACAAGCAAAGAAAAACCTTGCCCAAAGTCGAAAAGCTACTTATTTCAGTACCAGTTCCTTGGCATACATTACTACATTTCCCTTATATAACTTTACTGTAGTATAAACTGTGTGTGTGTTGGGGAGGGGGGGGGATGGCAGCTTTCAATGAACATTTTCAATAGAAAAAGTAAAACATGAATAACACTTGAGAATGTTTTCCGTTAATTAACAAGAAATACGTTAGGAAATTATTGTATCAATTTCGTGTTTCTGCTGTCAATTCTCTGATCTAAAACAAAATGTGTATTTTCCTCGGGAATATGCATGTACATATGCTTAGATCCTGCACTAAAAATTTGATTAAATGCAGCTCAGACTTTATACGACATATGTAACACGAATTCAGGTCGATGCTATTTTAATTAGTCTTTCTTCGTTACATGAGCACATGAGATTAAATTATTCATTTAGAATTCCATTCAAAGTTTTTAATACTATGCATGCAGTGAATCAATTATTTTACAAATAAAAAATTCTGAAAACACGGTTAATTCAAATGAAATAGGCCTTTAATTGTCACCAAATGTGTTCTTGTAAGTAAAAGTTCTATTTAATGACATACAATCGAGCAAAAACGCAGTTTCTTGGTATCGGTCGCGGAAGACGAACTACTGCTGTATATGCAACAATGTCGGGGTAAAACTGTAGATGGACATGTCATCAGTCTCCAAAAAATTCCTAGAGATGCAGAGAAGAAAATATGGCTGCAGCATGCTAGATTAATTCGTAAAAACTAAAAATTCTTACATTTGTTCTGCACATTTTGTAAATAGTGATGATCCGTCTGCAGAACATCCACTACCGAAAATTTGTTTTTTATTTTATTTATATTTTTTTAATTTATTTTTTTTTTAAATAGGCCTATTCGAATATGCATCAGCATTTTATCAGTAATTTGTTTCTTTTCTGTTTTTTGTAAGGAGGGGGGGGGGCTCACACAGCGCCTTATTATACTACTATACAGATTAATACAAATCCAGAAAGAGACAATGAGTGGGCAATTTAAAAAAAATACGAATCAGTTAAGATTTCTTTTTATTCACAAACACAATAACATTTTTCCATATGACAGAGGCATTACACCATGAACATGTTTACATCAAGAACGTCCGCGGAAGTGACTTTATTTAAAGCGCATGCGTATTAAACACAGTAAAAGAGTTCCCTTCAGGGGAAATAACTCACCTTTTGAAAATGGGGAATAGAAAAGAAAAGAGCACGATAGAGTACTTCAGAGTACTATAGAAAAAAGTGTATATGTAAAATATAATTAGACTGTTTATTTATGTAAATACAACATGATTAAAGAGTTTTATAAAATGATATTGCAACATTTGTCCCAAATATTTATATTTTTGTATATAACGATATTTTGACAAGGAAGAGCAAGATTCATGATTCAGTGCATTAAAGGTTATTATATTATCATAATTAACACCCCGATCTCGATTACTATTTTGTTTTAGACTTATTAATTAATTTCAACTAAATTTTATTTATCAAAAATTAAATTATAATTGCATTACATAAAATTTAATATTTTACACATCTCAGGCCCGTAGCAATTGTTTCAAAAGTGTGTGTGGAGGGAGGGAGGCTTCCAAAAAAATTGACCAGCAATAAATATACACATAAAACCTTAATGATATAGGAATTTGTCTGTGGTTGAACTTATGGGGCAACAAGCATATAAAGGAAACTTAACCGTAGTAAAATACTATACTCGGATAAATGGGGGGGGGGGGGTCCCTGCATTCCATGGGCCCGTCTCTGGATCTCACCTTCCCTTTATGCTACAATAACTAATCCTTTCTGATTCGGCTACAAGAATACCACTTCTTAAAATGCATTAATTATGCTTTTATAACTATGAGATTACATGTATATTGAAAGTGATGTGAATCTTTTAAAAAGATGTGTAGTAGTAGTAAGATATTTGTATGCTAGAGTTCTTAAACAGAATCCGTAAATTATTGCAAAATTTCAAAATCAACTAAGTTTTTTTGGTCTTAGTCGGGCACCAGGACTATACCGGAATTCGATTTTCCAACCGAACGTGACAAAACTAATTTGGCGCCAAAAAACAAAATGTCTGCCATTCGCAAGAATCTATGTTCGCACATAACAGAAGATGTTGCTGGTAAACTTAAATCAGCAGGTATTAAAACAGTTGTGGATTTTGTAAGAATGGACATGGAACATATTGCTCAAGAGACTACGATACCGTATAAGGCATGTACCTCTACATTGTACGTTATGTGCCAGATACATGTGTGATATGATGTAGATCTATGATTGAGTTATAAAACACTAACTTTTCATCAAAATTATGCATTTAATGATTTACAAAACTTTTTGATATAATATACATGTTTATCATTGCATTGTAAAATATCGTATTATAATGAACATTTTGTTCAACCGTTGCTCGATGTCATATGCACTCCCCATCCTAATTGTTAAAAAAATGCATCTACTATACTTAGAATATATGTTTATAGTAAAGTAAATGTATAATTATTTTTTTTACATGCTTATGCTAAATACAGTGTAACACATCCTGCCCATTAGTGTTAAGTGGTAACATTTATTGGGTACATTTTATAGCTTAATAATAATTAATATATTGTTGCTTTAACATGTTTAAGTTTCTTATAATTGATATTTTGTTTACAGGATCTTGTAGTCATCAGAAGACTTCTACTGGCCCAGTTTTCTACATTCCCAGTAAATTGTGCAGACTTCTATCAGACAGCCATTGCCTCATCATCCATCATACCAACACCAGTTAATAAGTAATTTATAGGCTATCAAATCGTGATATATTGTATCAACATGACAAAATATGCTCATTGCTGATGTATGTAAAAAAAAAAAAAGAAAAACACATTGGCACCTGTTGAATGTGTGAGGTATAAGTTTTTACAAAATGAGCATACTAAGTGTGTCTTATGCTAATTGTGACCAAAATTTAGTGTAACTGTATGCTTAAAATTAAAAACAAAAAAATTGTCAAAACATACAGGCAGTGTCCCCAGGGATTAAGGTAGATTTCTGATGTGTTATATTCTATTTGATAATTTAATTGGAGAAGAGAAAAATGCGGCATACCATACCTGGATTCATCCCTCAAAGACCCTAACCCAGGCTCATCCCTGGCAGGCCTCTCACCTGTCATTAAATGATAGGGGAGAGGAGAAAAATGCAGTGGACCAGACCAGGATTCGAACCTGAATCTCTGGTCAGGTGCCCTACCGACTGAGCTATCTGGCCACCAGGAATTGAACACGGCTGACTGCCACAATAAGATATTTTAGAATCTTAATTGAAATATGTGGTGTAGACATGCATTTCACTCAGAAAATTTTCTTCATATAGTTGAATGAGTTTCTTAACATTTTTGTGAGTTATATGGTCTGTTAAAAAAGACGTTTGTTTTATTTTGAAAACTTCATTGTCGATTTCATTTTAGGTTAAATGAATTGCTGGAAGGTGGACTGTACTCGTCAGAAATTACAGAGGTAGCTGGAGAAATATCGTCAGGTAAAACACAGGTAAGACAGGGCACTGAATAACACACAAACTGTATTTTATATTGTGATACATTTACATTACAATACATACTAGGTATATTTGTGATTATACACATGTGCATTTTGAAAGAATAAAAAATATGTATAAAATGCTGTGCCGTGGTCAAAATTGGCAGCCGCTATGATTGAATAGGGGAATGACTATACATTTATATTTTCTAATTTGTTATTTGCAACCGTTAATGCAGAGCCAGTAAAATAGATATTTACAACCGTTAAATTAGCAGAAATGGTCGCAAATACCAAAAAAGACGATAGTTATTCTCTTCTTATTGCAATTTATGCATTTGTTCAACGTTCACTTCTTATTTTGTTAGTTTTGCAACATGAAATATGTCACTGGGTGTTGTGTTTTTGTTTTGCAGTAAATTGTGACGTCAAAATCAAAAGCTTTCACTTTCATAATTGATCATTCTGATGCCTCAAACACCAGTAAATTGACCAATCAAAATGTGTTTTATAAATGCCATTGATTTACATTAAGGAAATAAACAAATTTGTCTCCTAGTTTTGCCTGAGTTGCTGTGTTTCCGCGGTGAGTACAGCGAAGCAGAATATTGTGTACATTGACACGTGTGGCGGGTTCTCTGCGGACAGACTTGCAGGAATCGCTGAGGTTCAGTACGGAGAGGAAGTAAGAGTATTACCTTCTAAATTCACAAGCTTATATCATTGTTATCGCTTCTCCACAACATTGAAAGGCATGCTTTCAGAATGTATAGAATGATTTTTCATTTGAAAGAAAAATTTTGTTTACTAGTTTCACACACTGAACTCGGCATGATTATAGTTATAACTGTGTAGCCTAATATTTTGAAGTTTTTTAGCAGTTTGTGATAACCACTATATTTTTTATTATATCATTGACAGAAACAGAATACAAAATTATATAACCATATCACTTTACTATTGTAAAGTTACATGTACACATATTAGATTTTAATATCTTTTAGCTATTTAATGTACTGACATAAGTTTGTTTTAGGCTTGTTATTTGGTTGTAATGTTTTTAAAGCAGTTAGAGCATATCCTGCAGTCAGTGAAAGTTGTGGAGGCACATGACATATTTCAACTTATGTCAGCATTGGAAACAGTCAAGGAAAATATGATTAAAAAGGTAGTATTTTTTTTTCCATTTTCCAATTCATGAGCCAGAAAATAAAAATAATGAATTTGTGATGAATTGTTAAAGCTACTGTACCATTTGATGTCAGGTAAACATTGTTATACATGTACTTGATTACACAGGATGACCCATTTTATGATCTGGTCAAGCTGATCATTGTGGACAGTGTTACAGCAGTTATCTACCCCTCCCTGGGTGGACAGCAGATGGATGGTAAGAGATATATATCGAAAATTATAGATAAACATCAGTACTTTATACCTCTATACAACATAATGTTCTTTAAGTCCGAAAAACATGCATTAGTGTATAGAAAAGGATCTTTAAAAAATCTTTGAGACAAAATTAACTGTTTTAAGTTTGTCTTTAGTTTATGATGTATGTACATTTCAATCACTATTCTCACTTAAAATTTTTCTGATAATTCTTTTCAGGACATGGTCTTATGGTTCAGCTCTCTCTGAAAATCAAGCGTTTGGCTGCAGACTTCAGCTTAGCTGTACTGGTATGCTCTTTTCCAACAACCACAAAAAATCTTTTTTAATAAGTATTAAATGTAACATCACCATGTTGGCTTACAGTCAACAAATCAAATGAAAGTGGAATGAATTACATGTAAAACATAAAAGCTACTCATATACGGCATGCAAGACAAATGCACACATTTAATTCTGTACATTATTAATTTTATCAAATATTCTTTAATTCGAACAACTAAATATGCTTTTAGAGGAGGTGTTCAAAAGTGATAAAAGCAAAACCGATCCTTAAGAAAATCACCATTAAGGTGGAATTAACCGATTGTCTTTCCATTGTTTTTGGAGTGTTTTTTTTTTTCCTTATAATATCGATGACATCTAATTTTCTTCTTCCTTTATTCAGATTGTTAACAATGTAACAGGGGATGGAAAAGTCAGCCTGGGTAAGACTTGGTCACATGTCCCCCACAATAGACTGCTCCTCTCACTTGCCAGGGACCAGAAACCAAATGTTAGAGAGGTGGTGTTGGTGAAAAGTTCAAAGTCGGTAAGATATCTACTATGCATTTAATTAAATTAAATAAATAAGATTAATTATTTTATCTCAGCAGAATACATGTATAAAGAAATATGAAAATTCAGAATATTTGAATTTCAACCCTTCAAATGAATATTCAAATATTCACTGACATTCCTACTGCATATTGCATGTTTATTGTTTATTGCATGTGATGATTTCAACTGAATCTAATGTTTTTGACAGGCAACAGGTGGGAAGATCATGTTAGAAATTACAGAAAAGGGGACTGAAGACATTAAATGAACCTCTTTTTAACCCACTGCACCTCTCTCTGCATCCTTAAGCAGGACAGTTGTGGATGCCAAGCTGCCAGAGTCTCGCCTCATCAAAGAGCTCAATTATAGTGAAGTTTCCCTGCTTTTCTAAGAAGGAAAGAAAGAGAGGATTGATTTTCAGCCTCCTTATATGGACAGAATTGGTCAATTATTTCCTTGCAACACTTACATTATATTGACTGTACTCTTCTTTTTGGAAGTGCTTCATTAAGAGATCTGTCAATCTCCTCATACACATATATTAACATTTTTTCAATACAGTGTACCTGCTTCCTATCTGTCTTAGCATTCAAGATAATGTTCATTTATACATGTATCTTCAAACTTGAGTAATTCTTAAATATTGGATACTCAATTTGAGCATAGATATTTCTGTCATAATAGTGTTATGATGAATTTCTTATAGCAGGAAATATAATGCATAAATCTGAAAATCTATTGAAATTATAAGTAATGAAAACAAGAATTGTAGGTCACGATGACCTACTTTTGACATTTTATGGCTATATTTAAGTATCTTGGGTATTTATTAGCTTAGTATCATCAAACTTTGCGAGTCAATGCATCTTTGGTGTTTGGAGAGTGACGACCAAAAAGTAGGTCAAGGTGACCTACTTTTGACATTTTATGGCTTTATTAGCTCTTCTGAGCCAAAGGCTCAAAGAGCTAATGCTATGGCCATTTGTGCGGTGTGCGTCGTGCGGTGTGCGTTAACTTTTTAGAATATGGGCCATAACTCAAGAACCCCTTGGCCAATCATTGTCAAATTTGTTACAGGGTATCCTTAGCCCAAGGGCTACCATTTATACTAAAACTAGGGTTGGGACCCTAAAACAAGGGGAGATAATCAGGAAAATAAAACCAAAAGTACTGGTTGCTAAAAAATCTTCTTCTCCAGAACCACTAGGCAGATTTTCACCAAACTTACATACAAGGGTCGGGATATGTTGAAGATTAAAAATTGTTCAAGGCATGACCCTGGGGCAAAGGGCGTGGTCTCAAGGTCACTTCAAAGTTGACCAAAATTTACACTTAATAAAAATATTGATATTTTGCTTACTATAAAGACTAGGATCACCAAATCTTGTAAGTTGATGCATCTTAGGACTTCACATCATGTTAACCCAAAAGTAGGTCACGGTGAACTTTTAAAATTTTGCTGGCATTTGTTTTCAAATTGATTTGGAGGCATATTTTGGACACTTTAAGGCCTATGATCATCAAACTTTGTCAGTTGATGCATCTTGGGTCCTCAAACAACGGCAACTTAAAAGTAGATCACCATGACCTACTCTTTAAACTTAATGACTAATCCTTTCTAAAACATTGAATCCCATTATTTCAGACACTGAGAGGTTTAGATTCATCAAATCTTGTAAGTTGATGCATCCTGGGACCTTAAAACATATTTATGAAAAAGTAGGTCACTGTGACCTACTTTTTGAATTTTGTAGGCATTTGTTTTCAAATTGATTTGGAGGCATATTTTGGACACTTTAAGGCCTATGTTCATCAAACTTTGTCAGTTGATGCATCTTGGGTCCTCGAAAAACGTCAACTTAAAAGTAGATCACCATGACCTACTTTTGAAACTTTATGACTAATCCTTTCTAAAACATTGAATCCCATTATTTCAGACACTGAGAGGTTTAGAATCATCAAATCTTGTAAGTTGATGCATCCTGGGACCTTAAAACATATTTATGAAAAAGTAGGTCACTGTGACCTACTTTTTGAATTTTGCAGGCATTTGTTTTCAAATTGTTTAAAAGGCATATTTTGATTACCTTCAGACCTAGGATCATCAAACTTTGTCAGTAGATGCATCTTGGGACTTTGAAAAATGTTGACCAAAATGTAGGTCATGATGACCTACTTTCGACATTTTATGGCTATATTTAAGTATCTTAGGTATTTATTGGCTTAGAATCATCAAACTTTGTGATTCAATGCATCTTGGGTTTTCGGAGAGTGATGACCAAAAAGTAGGCCACCGTGACCTACTTTTGACATTTTATGGCTTTATATAGGTATCTCCCATACTTATTGGCTTAGAATCATCAAACTTTGTCCATTGATGCATCTTGGGTTTTCGGAAATTGTAGATCAAAAAATAGGTCACGGTGACCTACTTTTGACATTTTGTGGCTATATTTAAGTATCTATGGTACTTATTGACGTAAAATCATCAAATTTTGTCAATCAAAAAGTAGGTCACTGTGACCTACTTTTGACATTTTATGGTTATATTTAAGTATCTCAGGCACTTATTGGCTTAGAATCATCAAACTATGTCAGTTGAGGCATCTTGGATTTCTGAGATTGTTGACAGAAAAATAGGTCACGATGACCTACTTTTGACATTTTATGGCTATATTTAAGTATCTCAGGCACTTATTAACTTAGAATTATCAAACTTTGTCAGTTGAGGCATCTTGGGTTTTCAGAAAAATGTCTATCAAAAAATAGGTGCAGTGACCTACTTTTGAATATCTCAGATACTTATTAGCTTAGAATCATCCAATTTTGTAAATTTAGGCATCTTGGGTTTTGGGTGAACATTGACTAAAAAGTAGGTCACAGTGACCTACTTTTGACATTTGATGGCTATAATCAATTATATCTGGTTTTTATTGGCTCGGAATCATCAAATTTTGTCAGTTGAGTCATCTTAGGGTATCGGAGAATGTTGACCAAGATGTAGGTCATGGTGTCCTACTTTTGAATATCTCAGGTACTTTATGGCTTAGAATCATCAAACTTTGTCAGTTTAGGCATACTGGGTTTTTGGAGAATGTCGACCAAAAATAGGTCACCATGACCTACTTTTGACATTTGATGGCTATATTTAATTATATCTGTACTTATTGGCTTGGAATCATCAAACTTTGTCAGTTGAGGCATCTCAGGGTATCAGAGAATGTCGACCAAGAAGTAGGACACAATGACCTCCTTTTGAATATCTCAGGTACTTATTGGCTTAGGATCATCAAACTTTGTCAATATATCTTGAGTCCTCAGACAATTTCAATCAAAAGGTAGGTCACTGTGACCTGCTTATGGTATTTTATAATTATATTATAATATGTTCAGTCTTAACTGGCTAAATATTATCAAACTTTGTCAGTTGATGCATTTTGGGTCTTATGATACTAATAGAGTTTGAGGCTTCTAATAGAAGTGATAGATTGTACAATTTATCAGAAGAGCGATTCAAGGCCCATGGGCCTCTTGTTTAAGTATCTCTGGTACTTATTGACCTAGAATCATCAATTTTGTCAGTTGATGCATTTTAGGTTTTCAAAGATTGTCGACCAAAAAGTAGGTCACAGTGACCTACTTTTGAATATCTCAGGTACGTATTAGCTTAGAAACATCAAATTTTGTCAGTTTAGGCACCTTGGGTTTTTGGAGAACTTCTCACCAAAAAGTAGGTCACTCTAACCTACTTTTGACATTTTATGCTATATTTAATTATATCTGGTACTTATTGGCTCGGAATCATCATACTTTGTCAGTTGAGGCGTCTTATGGTTTCATGGAATGTCAACCAAGAAGTAGGTCACTGTGACCTACTTTTGAATATCTCGGGTATGTATTGGCTTAAAATCATCAAACTTTGTCAGTTTAGGCATCTTGGGTTTTTGGAGAACGTCGACCGGTAAAGGCACCATACAATCCCATGTCTCTTTGGTTGCCCATGTGGGAATGATACCAATTAATACCACTAAAACGAGGCTGAAACGTATAGTTAAAAGACTGTCCTGGTAAAATGGGACATTGGGTCACAAAAGCTACTCCATCCATGGCAGCCGAGCCAAGCTGGTCTATTCCATGCCAGTGAATGGTGACGCCTTTGTTTACCAAGTTGTTTTTGACTATGATGGTGATCGTCTGATTCTGGTAGAGAAAGATTGAAGGTCCTGGCATAGTTCCATTCACGGTAATGAGCGGTCTTGTGGTATTCCACCCATCAGCAGTTATTACTTTCATTATATCAACAGGCTCTCCTCCGACTACTGGATACAATGATCTATTTTTGGCATAGATCAGTCCCGTAGACGGATCAATCATTGTAAACGCGTTTTCAACTATTAGAGACGTCATACAGGAAGCGTTATTCTCACAGACGAATCCTTCAATGGAGATAGGTATTACCAGAATGAGAAACAGTGGGTGCGAATTCTGTAAAGAAACATAATACTAGTACTTATCCATAACATGTATTATATCTGGGATAATTTTCATAAATGCATAAACCAAATACTATATATAATATGTATTTTTAAATTATGTCATTGTCCATTCGAACTTGATGCAAATTTTGATGAAACTAAACAATGAGAAAGATTAGAGGAAAAGGGAAAATAAAGTTTGGACTAATAAAAAATAAAACTGTACATTAACATATTAATGACATTTACCCAATCAAATATTAGAAGTAATGGACTTATCCTGCAAAGACAATACTATTGTTTCTAGAACGCTCTTTCATGGTATTAAGATGCAGATGTAGGCCCCTAGGATTTTTTCTGAGTAAAAGACATTCGATTTTTTTTTTTTTACTAGTAATTGACAATTAGTGACTTGAAATAATTGCTTGAATGATAAATGTGTTTTCAGAATTTAGTTGTGGTGTTCTTCACACACACACACACCCTCACACACACACACACACACCCTCACTCACTCACACACACACCCTCCCTCTGTCGCACACCCTTACGGCGAATTTCTTTCAAATTTGATTCAGAAGTATAGGTTTGAACTTTGTAGTAAAAGCTTGATAAAAATGTAAATAAATATGATAAATGCAACTTCTGTTGAATTTACCTTTTCCAAAAAGGAATAATAAATATATCTGAAATTTTTTAGACAAATTACATGTAAATACATTGAGAAGATTATAAATTGATGTCTAAAAAAATAAGTGATTTATACATACTTACCATGCTTAAGAACATTATCCAAAGAAATTACCAACCTTTTCTATGCGTACTAACAAAAGTTAGGTTATAAAGAATTCGGCTGAAGTTCAATTATTTAAATAAATATTTGATACACATCCTAGTTTCTTAGAAAATAAAAGTAAAATACCCGCCACATTACGCACCATTAAACGTACTCCAGTACTTAAATGATTAAAATCTAAGAAAAGGATTTACAGATTAACACATACATGTATATCTCTTCTAAATTATAATTGCATATTTTAAGAGACTATGAATGCGTAATGTTAGAGAAAAAATCAATTGTACTTTTTTTTAACTAACATATTTGATGAAAGAACAAGATGTGTATGTGGAACACTAATTTCCCCGTATGGCAGCTTATGGCGTACGTCAAAGTCCAAGATCAAAATCAAGATCAAAATTGATGGTACCCAATGCGAGGTCTTGTCACAAGGAATATACTTGTGGAGTTTTAAAGACCTAGTACTAACTGTTCAAAACTTATGGCTAAAGTTAAAGTACTGTTTTTAAAAAGTGGGACAACCTCTAAGATAAAGGTCAAAAGGTAAAAAAAATTACGCAATTAAAAGGCATTTTCAACATGTGAAATATGAAATCCTTAGCACCAATTGTCTTATTAATTAAATTTCATTCACTGTGTAATGTGTACAGATGTACGCGTCAGTTACACTTTGGGGTACCCAGCTCTTATCCGCAACTCCTCCTATACCACTGAAAAAAATTAATGATACTTTCAGATTCTTTACCAGGGTATTTCATAATGCCATTGTGCACCTTTTACTTAACTTCTAGATCTGACACTTATTCCTGGTCCCCCAGAGCAAAACACGGACTTTGCCAAAATAACCATATGAGGGGGGGGGGGGGGGGTATCATTTAGTGAGCTCAGTGGTCACAGTACCTCTAGTTTATTTATTGTACGAAGTTGGATTTTTGTAGAACTACAAAGATTCTTACTCATTATTTTCATATGTCCAAAAAATATCCTGTTCAAAATCAGGTCACATCGACATTTTATCTATTAATCAACAAGGTAGGTCCTTCTCCACATATTTCACGAACCAATGATTGCAATTACATACCGGGGGTATATATATCAAGGTAGAGTTTACGGAATCAACAGGATGTCCATTATAATGTTTAAATCCTACAAGTGCATCAGAACCCATGCAGTGAAAGTTGCATCAATTCAAGAATTCAACTTATAAGAACGAATTGATCATACTAGTAAATTGGAGAAATCTGCTAAAATGATCTAATTTTTAGATAGGTTTTAAAAAAAATTACAGAAATGGGTTAAAAAAAAATTTGGAAAATCCGTATGTATTTTATATTTCATTGCTTCGCATTTGTTGCAACAGAAATTATAACTGGAAATACACAACAAAAGTCACACGATGGAGTGGCTGATCAGCAGGTCCAGTGATAAATTTAATGGACAAGCTTCATTTAAACATACTGATAAGTTTCAAAACTATATGAGGCGCCGTTTTGGTATTTAAAGACCTATAGCCTTGGGAACCGTTGTTATTTCATAAATAATTTGAATAGGTAATATCAGTTATTCGAATAAGTGATATCACGTATTTGATTTGAATTGGTTATTCGAATAGGTGATATCACGTATTTGATTTGAATTGGTATGTCACCTTTTCGAAAAAAGTGATATCACTTATTCGAATAGGTGATATCATCTATTCAAATTATTTATGAAATAACAACGGCTCCCAAGGCTATAGGTTTTTAAATCTCATTATACCCCCACTTGAAAAGCGTGAGGGTATATAGTAATCGGGATGTCCGTCCGTCCGTCTTTCACTCTTTTGGGTACTCATCTTTTATCCGCAACTCCTCTTATACCACTGAATGAAATTTAATGAGACTTTTACAGAATCTTTATTACATAATGCAATTGTGACCTCCTATTTTAATTTTTGATCCGGCACATCTTTTGGGTGTCCCATAATAAAACATGGATACTACCATTATATTCATAAGGGAGGCTGGGGGTATCATTCAGTGGGCTCATTGCTCACAGTACCTATAGCTAACTGTCCCTTTCATTTTATAACTCGATCATCGTTCTTGAAGTCACAATGAATATTACAGCGTCGCATTTAGTTTTATGAGTGAGTGGCTCAAATCAGTTCTTTAATCCACTGAGTTTGTCTATAGCATAGACAAAACCAGGGACATTAGCAACTGGAATACCACATACAAGCACTCCCTATTACAGACTGTGACTTGAGTGCATCAACAATGCACACACCTCTCTTGGTGGGCCATGCTCATCATATTCAACTAAAAAAAGAAGAATAAGAATGAACTTACCATCTTCTAAATAGGTACTGCTGGCCAGTATACTTCCATCGGTGTTGTTTGTTTGTTGGCTTTGGTCACAGCCAAGATTGAGTACAAGTCACAGTCTAAAGATTTATGAGTGAGTGGCTCAAATCAGTTCTTTGATCCAATAGACAAAACCAGGGACATTAGCAACTGGAATACCACATACAAGCACTCCCTATTGCAGACTGTGACTTGAGTGCATCAACAATGCACACACCTCTCTTGGTGGGCCATGCTCATCATATTCAACTAAAAATAGAAGAATAAAAATAAATTTACCATCTTCCAAATAGGTACTGTTGGCAAGTATACTTCATTCGATGTTGTTTGTTTGTTGGCTTCTATCACAGCCAAGATTGAGTACAAGTCACAGTCTGAAGATTTATGAGTGAGTGGCTCAAATCAGTTCTTTAATCCACTGGGTTTGTCTATAGCATAGACAAAACCAGGGACATTAGCAACTGGAATACCACATAGAAGCACTTCCTATTGCAGACTGTGGCACTCCCTATTGCAGACTGTGAATTGAGTGCATCAGCAATGCACACACCTCTCTTGGTGGGCCATGCTCATCACATTCAACTAAAAATAGAAGAATAAGAATGAACTTACCATCTTCTAAATAGGTACTGCTGGCCAGTATACTTCCATCGGTGTTGTTTGTTTGTTGGCTTCTATCACAGCCAAGATTGAGTACAAGTCACAGTCTAAAGATTTATGAGTGAGTGGCTCAAATCAGTTCTTTAATCCACTGGGTTTGTCTATAGCATAGACAAAACCAGGGACATTAGCAACTGGAATACCACATACAAGCACTCCCTATTGCAGATTGTGACTTGTGTGCATCAACAATGCACACACCTCTCTTGGTGAGCCATGCTCATCATATTCAACTAAAAATAGAAGAATAAAAATGAACTTACCATCTTCTAAATAGGTACTGTTGGCAAGTATACTTCATTCGGTGTTGTTAGTTTGTTGGCTTCTATCACAGCCAAGATTGAGTACAAGTCACAGTCTGAAGTTTTATGAGTGAGTGGCTCAAATCAGTTCTTCAATCCACTGGATTTGTCTATAGCATAGACAAAACCAGGGACATTAGCAACTGCTTTACCACGTACACGCACTGCCTATTGCAGATTGTGACTTGAGAGCATCAACAATGCACACACTTTTCTTGGTGGGCCATGCTCATCATATTCAACTGAAAATAGAAGAATAAAAATGAACTTACCATCTTCTCAATAGGTACTGCTGGCCAGTATTCTTTAATCTGGGGTGTTGGTTTGTTGGCTTCTATCACAGCCAAGATTAAGTACAAGTCACAGTCTAAAGATTTATGAGTGAGTGGCTCAAATCAGTTCTTTAATCCACTGGGTTTGTCTATAGCATAGACAAAACCAGGGACATTAGCAACTGGAATACCACATACAAGCACTTCCTATTGCAGACTGTGGCACTCCTTATTGCAGACTGTGAATTGAGTGCATCAGCAATGCACACACCTCTCTTGGTGGGCCATGCTCATCACATTCAACTAAAAATAGAAGAATAAGAATGAACTTACCATCTTCTAAATAGGTACTGCTGGCCAGTATACTTTCATCGGTGTTGTTTGTTTGTTGGCTTCTATCACAGCCAAGATTGAGTACAAGTCAAAGTCTAAAGATTTATGAGTGAGTGGCTCAAATCAGTTCTTTAATCCACTGGGTTTGTCTATAGCATAGACAAAACCAGGGGCATTAGCAACTGGAA